GATTGAATTAAAACAAGAAACTAATATTTACCTTTGAAAAACAAGAACACCAACAAGAAAAATAAGGAAAAGAAATTTAAATAAGAAGGCAATTGTCAAAGCTTTTGTCAAAGTGTCCTTATTGTTTTCCTGCTCCAGTGAACTTTACTCCGAACTATTAGATGATTTAGTTAATTATAAGGTAAAATAGCAAAGGGAATATTTTTGTCCTAAAATTTGAGTTACATACACATGATTCCTTTAGTAGATTAATAAAAGTTTTCAATGAATAGAACTTGAAATAGGTTTCGGAATGACAGAATTTCATCATATGAGTAGACTTCTTGATTTAAGCTTTCTCAAATTTTTGCTCGACAAGACTATAACAGAAAAATTATATTTCAATAAATTTTAAAATGGTCACCTTAAAATAAACTATAGTAAATGATTTAGGTAACAATTGATCCATTTCTTCCGCTTAAACCACAAAACTCTACCCTTTGAAAATCATCCCACAAGACGTAATACGTGTACCTCGAAATGCATTAATACTTAATACTTCACTTAACTTCATAAAGAACAAAAAGAATATTGTGATAATAGTCAAAAACACATACCTACTAAATTATTTAATTAAACTAGAGACGACTCAATAATAGAGATGTTGAGAGGAGTACAAAATTCTTGAGCAAAAAACTTTCATGGTTTTGTATGGAAAATGTCCAATCTTGAAGACAACTTTTCAGCAAAAAATAATTAGCAAATTTTGTTGAGTGCTAACTCAAGATTTTTATCTTTCCCTCAAATGAACCTAATGGCCGAAAAACACTGAAATATACTTGTTAATGTTGTGTACGAGTACCGCTTTCTAGTTGATTTTTGAGAAATCGAGAGAAAGTCTCCAGTCACCTGGCATTTGTCAGATGACTGAAAATTTTCATCGTTTCTAGAATGAGGAGTACAACCAAGATCTACCTTTAGGTTTAAGGCAGTTTTGTGCTGTCATGTAGTCTATGTTTTCACGTTGTTGTGTTTGTGTTATTTTATGTAGTAGTAGTAGTTTCATGTGTAGTAGTAGTTTTCTTGTGTAACTTTATGTAGGCTGACTGACGTGGTTCGAATGGTTACTATAACATCTAAGCGTCTCGGGGAGTAAGTGGGTCCTTGCATTTTGGTGCTACTCTCCAAGTTCGTCAGTCAATCATTCGACCTCTAAACTAAAGAGTCTGATACTGCATCTATTGACATTGATGGAGTCAGTCTCTGTTCGGAACGGTCAGGTGCTACTGTTGTCAATGTTAGTATGAAAGGGATCAGTTTACATGACCAGAAGGGTTTTCAATGCAGAAGAGGAGGTTAAAGGCTTACATGAGCCAGGGACACTCTAGGGATGTGGCCCTAGACATGGTGTCTAAACTTCCAAGTCGTGCGCCAACTAAAAGGGCTTTATCTGACGACATGGTTATGCCAGCTGGTAAGAAACCAAAGCAGAACACCTCGATTCAGTAAATCCTCTTTCAGCCAAGTAGCAAGTCAGACCAATGGGATCAAATTAGGATTTGTTCCTTTTGATTTGGCTAAGTGCCCCCTTAGAGTGGCTCAAAAAAACTAAAATGCGACTTTTAATGAGTGCACCCCCTAGGAATATGCCATTGACCAAAAAAATGATAGAGCTCCAAAGTTTTAGAGCAATAGGATAAAAAATGACGTTGCGCCACTCGAGCAAAGTTGAGTTTTCAGTACAAAAAACAGAAATTTTTCAATTCAAGGTCATTTTTTATCTTTATTACTTGTTTCAATAGTTATTAGTATATACTCATTTGATAGATAATTAAAATATCTTTTTAATAAGATACTGGTGAGCAAAATCGGTTAAAAATTATGCGTAAAACACAATAATTATTTGAGCGACTTGCTCTGTTTTCTATTTTCTTACCTTTTAGCTGGCATGCACAATTACGTAATAGGTATATGCTACGATTTAGTTAATTATTTATAAAAAATTATAATTTCAAGAAAAATTTTTTTTTCAGTAATTAATATATTGTGTTTATTATGTTTTATAACATAAATCTGACTATGTGAAGGATAATTTTTATGATAATGCTCGACTACTTGCAGAACACATTGTTTTTCCTCTTCATATTTTGTCAAAATCGAATTATAATCCATCATAAGCCTAATTCCTCTTTCTATACAATCATTTATCATATGAAGTCTGGTACAGAATTCAAGTGCATCTCTATAATCTTGCGTCTCAATCCATGGCGAAAGATCGAAACTGATAAAACTATTAGATAGGCAAAAACGATTAAAAAAATTTATTATCTCTTCGGTCACGAAATCAATAAGGTTCTTTGAGGAAAATAACTTCATTAGTGGGTTCCCACTCTTTATCTAACCAGAGATAGCTGGGAGCTTGGATCTGTGACCGGTAACTCTACAGTTACTATCTACGCAGATGGCTCAAAGATAGAAGGCGGTACGGGAGCAGGTATCTTCTCGAAAGATATGCAAATAAGACTACTGTTACTACTGCTACTGCTACTTACAGCGTCTTTCACGGCGAAATATATGCTATCGAAAAACATTAGACAACAAAATACAATTCGTTCTTCGAATATCACGATTTTTGTAGATAGGCCGCACTGAAAGCAATTAAATCTAAATTCCAAGATAGTATTAAAATGTCGCGATTCACTGATGGGCATCAAACATCATAAGGTCTCTCTTTGCTGGGCATAGTACATTTCGAATACTTGGACATAGCAACATTGAAGGGAATGAACTAGCAGATGAGATGGCCAGAAGAGGTTCTGAACTGCATACAGGAGAGGCCGACCTTTCAATACATACACCGATATGTAAACTGTATAGGATAATAGAGGAAATCAATACGGTGACTAACAATTTATAAACTAACCGCGAAGACTGTAAGGTCGCTAAAATCTTATGGCCTAAGTTGGACAAAAATAAAACGAAAAGTCATTGCGCCGATGCTCCAACGGTGGCGAGTTCCAACAAGTGGATTATGCAGAAGTTGCTAAGATGAAGAGGAGGTAAAATCTATCAACCACTTCCTGCGTCTCTATCAAGGACTTCAAACAAGGCTACTTTAATGTCTTGAGGATCCTTATTTTACTGGCTTGGAAGAGATAACGACAGCTAACTTATCGGATCTCCTCAACTTCATCTGGAAAACCAAATGGTTTAACAAGGATAACAAAGATTAGCAACTCGCATCTCCTGGTAAAATTTTTTGAGGGCATCCCAATGGGCAATATATGTTTCCGAGTAGAAGTGCTAACAACTGTCAGCACGTGCCTTCCGAACATAACCTTACCCAGTATGGGTTAAAATTTTCATACATATGCTCATCATAAAAATGTATATATCTCGTACAAATCATCCGAGTTATATGTAAATTGATCTCTTAAAATAAACATTTTTAGTAAGTACATGATTTTCGCCATCCATCGAGAATCTTAGATGGCACCTGGGCGCCACAGGTAACCAGGCAACTACTACAAAATATGTATAGCGTAGCGATCCGAAACCTTGCATTTGTCAAGGGCGGAACCTAAACTAGGAGTGATAAATTGAATCGTTGTGTCTGCGTTATCCCAATTTTGTTGAACTGTGACTAAAGATTCAGCTTCCATTTTGAGACAATTTCTTCATCGAATTTATTCCAATTAAAATCAATGGAATTTTTAGCCGCTCTTGCTTCGTTTGCTAAAAGGATATTAACTTCAGTCATACTCCCTGTACGACCATTTTTTCTTTGCTTACGAAAAAATTCTTGTTTTGACTACTTTTTCAATTCTACTTAAATATCTATATAAATTATTAAGTAGAAATGTTTTATTTTTATTTTTTATTTATGTTTCCTCCGTTTCTTGCATTGTGCATGCCAGCTAAAAGGCATGCTAAAAAGCTAAAAAATAGAAGACAGAGCGCAGTCGCTCAACTAATTATTGTATTTTGCGCATAATTTTTAACCGATTTTGCTCATCAGTATCTTATTAAAAAGATATTTCAATTATCTATCAAATAAGTATATATAAGTAACTATTGAAACAAGTAACAAAGATAAAAAATGACCTTGAATTGAAAAATTTCTGTTTTTTGTACTGAAAACCCAACTTTGCTCGAGTGGCGCAACGTCATTTTTAATCCTATTGATCCAAAACTTTGGGAATATCATTTTTTTGGTCAATGGCATATTCCTAGGAGGTGCGCTCATTCAAAACTTCATTTTTAATTTTCCCCCTTATAACGTGAGCCACCCTAGTGCCCCTAAACAGGGAACAGATTGCACAGCTACAGGAGGCCATAATTGAGACTGCCATAGAGTTGGCGTCAGACGAGGTTAAACCAGAATTTGAAGGGTGTTTCCCTCGCACGGGATGGCTCATGGTGGTGTGCACAAATAACCAAACGGCTGAATGGGTCCGTAAAAATGCGGCAGCTATTGCAACAAAGGCTAAACTGGGCGCCAAAGTGGTTGAAGATTCGAAGTTCCCAAAAACACACCTGGTGCGAGGATACTTTCCGCACAGTTACAATTTTGAAGACACCAAGGTTCTTGCCACAATTGAGGCCCAGAACAGGATAAAAGCAAGCACATGGAAAGTATTACAGCGGACTGCAGAAGGTTCACTGCTCTATATTGTCTTTGCTGTCGATGGTGCATCCTGGAATTCACTGGTCCAGAGTGGAGGTAGAATAGCGTACCGCTTCAGCCATGTCAAGCTACTGCTCAAACCTAACAACATGACAAAGGAGGAGCAGCCGGAACAACGGCCTGTGGAACAAAAAGTTTCAAACAGAAAGTGGAGCACGTGGTTCCACAATCAATATCTACGTCTACTGTGACTCCCAGTGAGGCCCCAGCTTCCAGTAGAGCCGCCGTCCAACAGAGGCTTTCGATGCGACCACCTGTGGATGGAGCATCATCAACTCCAAAAGAGCGCCGGAATGGAAGAGGAACACGCAGAGCTCGATGGCAGAAGAAAGTCGAACACTCTCTTAATAAAACCCAACTGAAATGAGCACCATAGGGTTGCTACAGATGAACCTGCACCACGCGAAATGAACATCGGCTCCTTTCAGAAGGAAGTCGAACACTCTCTAAATGAAACCCAACTAAAATGAGCACCATAGGGTTGTTACAAATGAACCTGCACCATGCGAAAGGAGCATCGGCTACTTTGTGCAGGACCTTCGCCACAAAAGGACTGGCCATAGCGCTTATCCAGGACCCATGGGCAGTCCGTAGGCATATAAAAGGCCATCAGCATCAATCAAGTAAGTTGATATATAAACGTGACATAGAGTCGCCTAGAACTGCTATACTAATAAACAAAAAAGTTAACTCTATTCTAATTCCAGATTTCATCCAGAAGGACGTAGTCATAAACTTGGTTAGTAACTGCAAATCTAGCAATTTACTATTTATAATTGGTTGCGACGCTAATGGGCATGATACCTTATGGGATAGTACTAACATAAATAGAAGAGGGCCAATGCTTTTAGAATACTTTAGTAGTAATAACATCAGCTTATTGAACAATGATTCTAAACCCATATTAATTAATGCCATTAGAATTAATGCCACTCTCATCCTTCCTCCTGAAAACCATGGAGAGACTCATAGATATCTATATTCGTACAGAATTGTCTAAAGTCATCCTTTTCACAAAACTTAAATCGCTTACTCCAAAGGGAAACCTACCAAATTGGCTGTACAAAACCTAATCAGAAAAATTGAAAAGGCCCACAAAAACAAAGAAATTGCGCTTTGTGCATTTCTAAATATTGAAGGAGCGTTCGACAATACGACTTATGGCTCGATCTCGAATGCCTTAACTAACAAAAATGTTGATTTCAATATTATTTCCTGGATTGAGACGATGCTTTAAAACAGAAAAATTACATTAACCTTAGGTAGCACGTCTGTAGCTATTAAGGCCACAAAAGGTTGCCCACAGGGTGCAGTGTTTTCTCCTTTGTGGTTGTCGGTGGTTGTCAGTGATTGTCGATGAACCTTTAATCTTACTGGAGAATATTGGTTGTGACGACATTGAGTATATAGACAATCTAGTTAAAATATTGTCTGGAAAGCATGGTAACAGTCTATCTGAGATCTTGGTAGGATACCTTTGACGCATTTTATTCCGCTCTAATATTCCTCTCTCTAGGTGTCGTTCTAGATGGTAAACTCACTTGGAATTCACACTTAAATAAAGTATATAACAAAGCACTAAGGGCTTTATGGACAACGCAATCCTGTATAGGTAAAACTATACAGGATGACTGGCTATGAGGACAAGTCAAACTGCAGCACTTGAGGCTATACTTAGTGAGCTTCGAGTAAAACTCCACATGGGCAAGGTTTGTCCTATGGTCATAGAACAATGTTAAAAACATTTGGAGCACATAAAATTCCTCAATGCGATGGAGACTATACAACAGAATTCCATCGTTTTGGCAAAAAATTTGAGGTTCACCTACCATCACGTTCAACGTGAGAGAACCGAGGCTCACTGGTTGAGCCAAAAAGTTTGGCTTGGTACACAGATGAATCAAAGATGAATGAAGGCACTGGTACTGGTGTATATGGACCCAACACCAGAATTTCGGAGGCAATGGGCATATGGCCGAGTGTCTTTCAAGCTGAAATCCACGCAATCAACTTATGCGTAAGATCCAATTTAATCGAAAAATCTTCTGGCTCGAGAATTGTTATTTACTCTGACAGCCAGGCTGCTCTTAAAGCTCTTTCTTTTTGGACTTTTATATCGCAGCAGGTCGTAGAGTGTTACGAGCTCCTGCAAATACTTGCAGCTCGGAATAGGTAAGGTAAGCCTTTACTGGGTTCCAGGCCACAGGGGAGTTTTGGGAAACAAAAAAGCTGATGAGCTAGCCAGTACTGCATCAAAAACTGCTTTTATAGGCCCTCAACCATTTTGTGGAATAAACTGGACCAGTACAAAACAGATTATCAAGGAAAGGGAAAATCATAGGCGGCTGGAGTACTGGGAAAACTCTCCAGGACTCAGACAAAGCAAAGCATTAATAACACCGTACTCCTACAAAGACATTCTTAAATTCTCAAAATGTAATTTAAGGTTGCTAACGGGTTTCATTACAGGTCATTATGGTCTGAAATATCACCTTCATAAACGTAGATTATGCCTCGAAGATGAGGAAACGGCCATGCACATTCTTTGTGACTGTCCAGCATTAATAACGCACAGAAGTAACCTGTTTCATATGGAATTTCTGTCACCAGAACAGATTAAGAGCTCTACTCTAGATTCAGTTCTAGATTTTGTTTATAAATCCTTAAAGAACTTTATGCAATCAATAGTGAAGTTGGTACAATAGGACTCTTCTGGCCGCAGTACCGGCTGTTGGGCAATTTCACGTCTACACTCTTAATAAAGTAGGCAATATTATAACGTGGCATAATTCCACGATATTTCTACAATATATTAAACCAACTCCTTGAAAAACGGGAGAAAAACCATTATTCTCTGTTTCTATACCGTGTAGAATACATATCAACCGCTAATGGTTTCTTCCCTTCAATTGGGTTTCTGAAACAACCACTGAATTGTTTAGAAAACCTGCATTTCTAATCAAATTATTGAATTCAATTTTAATGAAAGGTGTACGTATGCATGTGTTAGAATCACTATCTTAATCACACCCACGTGGAAGAAAAAATTATATCCATATTATACAAAACGTTATTTTAAGCTTCTGATCGAGAAAATATTGGTATAGTAGAATCATGCAGAATAGAGCAAATCGGTGATGGGATAGATGGTAATGGATAAATTATGATTTCTTTTTTTCTGTTTTTTAATTTGAAACTTTGTATGTTACATGAATAATAATAGCAGTCATCTGTGATTTTTTGGTTCGTTCCACACTAGGGAAATGTCAAAACGAAACAGTTGCTTTTTACATTGACTTTTTTGGGGGGGCCGCAAACTTATCTTTATCATCTTACTAAATACTAAAGTACTCTCAATAATTCTCTTTTCATGAAATCGTAAATCTACAGCAAGGGTAATGACGTTGTGTATGAGTAACTAAACTAATTTAAATGAAATTTCTAAATAAACTATACATGACGAATTTTTTTTATTATTTTCACAGAAATCAGCATTAATAAATCACTAATTAATCAATCACTAATTAATCAACCACTAAAATTATTCTGAAATAATTATTCTAATTCTAATAATAGTAAATGACATGGGCATACGCAAACACCCTTAATTAAAATGAATACAAATGATTATAAGTTAAGTTAAATAAGCGCCTTATGAGAAAGTTTTATTCTATTTGTTTAAATTCTTTATTAAAAAAACATTAATTTTAATTGCTTTTAAGAAAATGTGAATGTAAATAAAATTTTTTTCCTTCGAGGTGCCCTTTAACATATATTTGAAATACTAATATTACTATTCTCTTACATCAGTGAATTATGTGATTTGTAAGAAATGCCTTATCAGTAATGCTTCTATAGGGAAAAATCTATTTTATTTTTTGTTTTTTTTTAATTTAATCAAATAATCAATTAAATTTCAAAAATGATCGGTTTTAAGCTCATCGAAGCTAAGAAATTGCATAGTGCTATAGTTGAACGCAAATAGTTAAGATGAAGAGCAAAAGTATAGGAAAAATAATATTAATTAAAATAATTAAAAGTTTATATGCTTTGATATTTGGGATCTATTTATTAGAGATTGGAACAGCATATTTCTCAACAACAGTAAGTTTAAAAACATTAGTAATTAAAAATTAATAAAGTTAATAATATTATTAAAAAATGTTCATTTATTTTGTCTGATCAACTTCGAATTGCATAGAATAAATGGTAATATTTATTATTATTATAAAATATTAATTATAATAAAAGTGATTTTATTTAGTATTAATACACACTGCCCAAAATATCCCACAAACTGTCATGACGCAACACGAAATACAGGTAAAAGTGGTGTTTATACTCTTGACATAGAGGGCAAATCCTTTCTAGCTTACTGTGAGGCAGATATCAACGGTGGTGGCTGGCTTGTGATACAGCGTAGACAAGATGGCTCAGTAGATTTTAATCGTAATTGGACAGATTATAAATCAGGTTTCGGTAATATTAATAGCGAGTTTTTCTTTGGTCTTAATAAGTTACATAAACTAACTAATAAAAACGCACATGAGCTCATGATTGTCATGCGACTATTTGACTCCACTGTACTCCATACAAAATTTGATTACTTTTTGATTGGTAGTGAGACTGAAGGATACATCTTGAAAGAACTTGGTTTGCGTTCCGGCAATTCTACATTTTTACTAAGCTGGATGGAAGACTTTGAATTTTTGACTAAAGATAGGTATAATAATACTTTATGCAACGAAAATTTTGCTAAAATTATAAATGGAGGTTGGTGGACTAGTTGTACGAACCATTGGTGAGTATAAAAATGTATACCAAAATATTACAGATAAATATAATGATATTATATCCAGGTATTATGTGGGAGAAAAAATAATTGTTCCTGACCTTTTCGAGTAAGTCAGAATCAAAATATTTAAAGTGATTTGTCAAGTTTTCTCTCATATTTCAACATAAGTTCTATTTTACTAACTTTTAAGATTCTATGTTTATTGCATAGAAAAAAGGAATAATGAGTTCAAAAGTATTTAACAAATTATCAATTAAATGTTTGTAGAAATTTATTCACCAGAATAGAATACTTATATAACACTCAGACTACAAATGAAATTTGTTGATAATTAAAATGAAGAAAAAGATTCCTTAGAGTGATTTATGACAAGTCATTGAGTTATTGACATAACCTATATTAATTAAGTTGTGACGTTCCTTTTCTAACATTTATCATCTGCAGTCATATAAGTCTATTTTTGTTGTCTAATGGGCTTAAGAGTAATAGAACTGATCTAATTTCAGAAACCAATAACACAACAAACGATGACACTAATGAGAAATGCCATAAAAATTATCTATATAACATTAACTTAAACTAATTGGAGTGAGGGTTCAAGTGACTACCTCCCTATTTCCTATTCTTTAGAATTACTTTTAACTGATTAAATGCTTATTGTGCTTCCTATAAAAAAAATAACGTTAATAATCTTAAAGAAAGAATCCACTAAGGTTTGAAAATTGTACTTCGTTCTTATTCCTCAAAGTTTAAGAGCTTCTAGTATCCAATGCAAGTGTTGTCTCATTTCCTTCAATATTTTTATGTCCAGGAATCCAGCAAAAAGATACCTAGTGATGTTCGATGTTCATTGCTGAGGTGTGACATTTTATTACAATTCTCGATTTCACTGTTTTTCATCCAATTGGCTTCATTGTTGCCCGACTGTTTCCAAATATAGTGATGTTTTAAGGATTTATGTTTTAGCTTGTACTCGTATTTACCTTTCTTTTTCGATTGCCTACGTTATATCTCAACCTTTAATTGAACTTTAATGAATGAAAGTTTCACAACAATTTTATTTAAAAAACCTGGAAGAATTTAAACAAATAAAATTGATAAATAAATTAACTCGAAATTGAACCAAAATAACTGATATTTTTGCCTAAGCGAAAACCGGAACTGAATTGATATAATTGGTAAATATTTAATATAGAACCGGGACCAAAGATTTATATATGAATAATTCAAATTCTTTATTGGCGTAGTTTTTTATATATTCAACAGATCAATGAATAAGTAAAAATGATCTTATTGTTTTTCAAAGACTTCCCCATAATGATCAATATATCGATTCGATTGAACAAATTTCCGATACAATCTTGCCACTGTAAAGTTGGTATCTCCAAAATGAGGGTTTTGAATGTTACAACGGCCTGTTCAGGCATATAAAAACACTTTTTTTCTTATTTGTTTGGGAACAAGGAAGTCATTAGGTGCCAAGTAGAGACTATAAGGAGGATAAACTATCAATTCGATGTTATGAGTGCTCAAAAATTGTTCTGTGTAAGCTAATATGTGGGAACTCAAATTGTAGTGGTTGAGGATGTTCATCTTTCAACGGTTGGTTTGTCTCAATACTTTGAAGACTTCCGTCAAACAAATGGTTGTGCACCACTCAAAATTGACCATTCTTTATTGATCAAGTAGTACAGTTGCGACATAACAGGATTTTCTGAAAAAATATATATCCATTTGCTTGAATTTACTCTGTCCACGGACAACTTTTGTCAGGTTCTGCTCATTTTGGAAAACAAAAATACTAGATTGCTCTTTTGTTTCGGATTCATAAGAGTAGATCCATAATTCGTCACCTGTCACGATGTCCTAGACGTGTTTTAAGCTATCTTGGTCGTTCTTTGTCAGCATCGCCTTGCATCAATCTCACACGTGTCTCCTTTTGAACGATTGTCAAATTATGGGGAATGCAGCGTGAACAAATCTTTCTGACAGCTAATGGTGCCCAAGGAGACTTTATCACTCATAAAAAATCATAAAATCATCACAGGAATATGTTCATTGTTTAATTGTATTTTTATGAATTTATGTCGCTTTGCTAACACTTTATACTAACTGATTATTTTGTTACTATTTTAATTTCTTTAATATACTTTAGCGTCGGTAATACTGACTTAAATGGCATTTACAATCATGGAAACGACACAAGCGCGAAAGATAGATATTTGATTATCGGAGACGTGAAAATAAAATTTGCGCAGATGATGATCCGTCCCATTGGTTTTTAATTAATAACTGCGACTTTTTGTATTACTAATTTGTAATAAAAAATGTTAATCAAATAAAAATTTTAATAAATATAAATAAACGTGAATAAACAATTAAAAAAAAATTGTTCGTATTTGCCGTCACCAAAACCCTTCAATAATTGCTTTGTAAACAATCTGTCGACGATTGAAAATAGTGCATTGAATTTAAGTACTATATGTGCTAATAAAGACCAACCCAACTAATGAGGCACACCCTAATCAATTCCACAATTTTCAATTACCATTGCCTCTTGACTATAGAAAACTTATTGATATTTGTTAAGCGAAGTGGTTTCGCAAATGACATGGAAATAGAGGACTTGATTGAATTAAAACAAGAAACTAATATTTACCTTTGAAAAACAAGAGCACCAACAAGAAAAATAAGGAAAAGAAATTTAAATAGGAAGGCAATTGTCAAAGCTTTTGTCAAAGTGTCCTCATTGTTTTCCTGTTTCAGTGAACTTTACTCCGAACTATAAGATGATTTAGCTAATTATTAGGTAAAATAGCAAAGGGAATATTTTTGTCCTAAAATTTGAGTTACATACACATGATTCCTTCAGTAGAATAATAAAAGTTTTCAATGAATAGAACTTGAAATAGGTTTCGGAATGACAGAATTTCATCATATGAGTAGACTTCTTGATTTAAGCTTTCTCAAGTTTTTGCTCGACAAGACTATAACAGAAAAATTATATTTCAATAAATTTTAAAATGGTCACCTTAAAATAAACTATAGTAAATGATTTAGGTAACAATTGATCCATTTCTTCCGCTTAAACCACAAAACTCTACCCTTTGAAAATCATCCCACAAGACGTAATACGTGTACCTCGAAATGCATTAATACTTAATACTTCACTTAACTTCATAAAGAGCAAAAAGAATATTGTGATATTAGTCAAAAACACATACCTACGAAATAATTTAGTTAAACTAGAGACGACTCAAGAATAGAGATGCTGAAAGGTGTACAAAGTTTTTGAGTAAAAAACTTTCATGGTCTTGTATGGAAAATGTCCAATCTTGAAGACAACTTTTCAGCAAAAAATAATCCTCTAGTGATGTGAGTGCTCATTATAAAATATATGAGTCAACATATATTCACGATCTCAGTTTTCTAAGTTAAAGAAAGTTCCTTTGCGCAAGAGCATTCTTAATAATTGTGAACAAATGTTATTTCTAATTTAGACATCTTTATAAGTCAGTTACTCTTGTAACTCTTATGACGGTACGGTACGGTGAAATACCGAACAAACGAACTGTTAAATCTTTTAATGATACTAAATAATAAAAAAGTTTTTGTAGTTGCAATTCACTGTAAAAAATAAAATCGTCTCTATTGAAAACAATAGTTTCTATTAAAAAGTTTGATTCTTTCGTCAGAACGGACGTTAAAAAGCAATTGGATATAAAATACTATTATGCATATAATGCTATAATATGTTGTGATAATTATAATATTTAATAATAATAATTATAAAATTATATATTATGATAAAATTGGTTAGGTTAGGTTATACCGGCGATCCGTGTTGGATCCACTTAGACTTATTGGCCCATCGTGTTACCGTATATGTAGGGAAACTCAGGGTATAAAACCACCTAGAACCTTTGGTAAAGCCTAAAATGTTATTGAGTGTCAAGTCTTGTAATTGTATTAAGTCTCCGTCGCACAGTGTGACAAAACAGAAATTAGCCGATCAAAATTCGATATTTTCGGAACCAGTAGACATATTGATATGAAATTTTCTTTAAATGTAGTTTTTGAAATGGTCTTTTTTTCAAATCTAAATCTAAACATAATGTGTTATAACTTCATTGTTTTTTAACCGTGTTGGTTGAAATTGAAGTATAAATAAATTAAGTATTTATAAAATAATAAATAATCCTATTTTCCCACTTATTGACTTTGTTGTTCAAATAAATTTTGTTTATTAAAGGTCATATTTTATACAATTTTTGATTGACTTTTGGGGCCTAAAACAGATATAAAATTAAGAGTGTGCAAGTCAATTTTTTTTTTTTTGGTAAAGTTTAACTATTTGGCTCTGATTAGTGATTAGGAAAAATTTTATGAAAAAACTAGGATACCTTTTTTGGGTGTCGCAGATAGAAGTGAAAATAGCCATGAAAAGTTTTACTGACTTTTTGTGCCATTTCAATAATAAAATTTTATTGATAATTGAAATAGAAATATTTTTTACACATAATGAATAACAATATTCTAAGGTTAAAAAACAGTTTTAAATGATCATTTTTAAAAAAGTAGTGAAAAAGTTATAAGGGTTTAAAATTGGCCCAATTTTTGCAATATCAAAATTTAAATAGATAAATAGTATTTGTAACAAATCTATAAAAGGAGCATCTCAATACCTTAAGCTAACTTTAATCCCAGAATAATTATTTAAATAAAAAATTAAAGTCAATGAATAAAAATGTTCTGCAGTAACACACACCCTGAAAACTGACAGTTTAGCCCGCTCTGGTGATTCTCTGGATGGGTCGCAGGCTTTACTCGTTTATATTACCTAAGAGACCATTAAGAGAAGTACCTACTACTACTTTCTTTAACTTGCTAATATCAGATGTTAAACACTCAAGTCATGTGCAACATCCAAATTTATATGGCCCACTAGTTTCAATAGTTTATAATAAAACTAGTTTATCGGAACTCATCAAAAGAGACCGCGTGCAGTTATTTCTGGTCATTGGTGTATAGGAACCCATGCAGAGAAACTGAGCATTACTCATAATTCTCACAGCAGAAGTTGTGAAAACCCGTAAGAAAAAGGAACCATAATACATTTTCTCTGTAAATGCTCGGCTTTAGCGCCCAGAAGAAAAAGGTTTTTAGGAAGATAATTCTTTCACAGTTTATCAGACTGTGAAGAATCGGTGAAGGCGAGAGACCTATTAAATTATCTAAATTCCACCTAAGCCTTCCTAAGCTCACAGTTACTCTGAATTTACATGAAATAAAATTTGATGTTGTGTAAACTAATATATTGAAAGAATGTTATACACACCATGGACTATCCTTTTGAATATTTATTTTGCTGGAACAAACTTTATTTAAATAAAATAAATTTAAATTATTGTTCGCAAAACACACCAGCACATTTTATTGAAATCAAAACAAAACACAACAATAGAAGCAACGTCAAATCAAAAGCAAAAAGCTTTTGTACAAAAATGTGGAACTAAAGGAAAGCTTAGGCAAGGACAGTGTCCAGCTGTCACACAAGTGATAGATGACAATTCGCCCTGTAAGTGGCTTTTAACAGTAACCTAAAGTCTCCGACCCCTGGATGCTTCAACAGTGAACAAGGAAGGGCGTGTTGTCTGCGACCTGTAATGCAACACACGTAGATTTTACAATCACGTGTGCCTGTATTATATCATGTCGAGTATAGAGCGGTCGTGTTTAGTCTATCTTTAGTTCAGGCGTTGGAAGAAATCGGAAGTGACAGGGTCTTAATAAACAAATTTCTTGTGATGACCTTGGACGAGGCTGAGTTTATCCCAGTTCTAAACGAACCCAAAAAAAGGTTCATTACAATTGTTTTAAATTCTAAACATTTGATTATAGATATTCAATAGAAATTATGTGGAATGTATTCTTTACTCATTAGCTTGCAAAATACCACTTCACATTATTAAATTTCTATTGGACATTTCCATACACAGAAGAATACTTCAATAACTTGAGACAAACTAGTGGTAAGTGTACGCTACAACATACAGCCATTACCAACTTATAACAAAATGTGTCAATTTTTATACAAAATTCATACAAAAAAGTGCAAATAAGGTTTAATCATATAAAATGTATTATTAAAAATTTATGTAATCTAAATTAAATAATAAAAATAATTAAAAGTAAATGTGATATTAAAAAATACTTTGACATTAGTTATTTACATACGGACCCTATATAACATGACTTTCTAAACAAATAAATTTCAAAATAAGTAATTATTATAAATGAAGAAGTCTGAGGAAGTACTGTAATGCACATTCGAATTGAATTGGTATCATTATAACGAACAATTTATTTTGATTATTTTTCATTTAAAAGAGATTGTTAGCTTCGCGATATAAAAAAATAACCGATCAATGTTATTCACATCTTCAAAAAGAACTAGTCCATAAAACTTATGTACACTGCGACTATATGTAAGTATTTTTTGTGTTTGACGGAGAGTAATGTCATAAAAAACCCTCTCGCCTTATCGGATCATTCGAAAGACAGACGAAGTGTCCTGCAGACGGACGAAGTGTCCTGCAGACGGACGAAAGAATCTACTTCGCATCTTCTACTTGCACGGGTCAATGACTAGGACTAGAATGAAACAACTGCATATTTGAAACAGTATAGATATTGCTGAAAGCACTCTTGTCCGTAAATAAAATATATTAGTTAGAAGTCTACCACCCCACATCGTCGGTCTAGCCGTAATGTAGAATTCGGAATAAGAAGAAACGTCCACCTACCTTATATGTATTTAACGCACTTAGTTGGATTGTTGAAAGCATTGCCGTAATAACTTCGATGGCATTGTCTGACACTGGGAGAAAGGCACCCGTAATGTAATTGAGCGATAGCTTTCATTTCGTTTATGTATCTATGTACGCTTTTCAGTTGGTACATTGCGATCACTGCAAGCTCACTGATTTTCTACTTTGTCAGAAAGACGAAAAACTTAAATGCAAAGCCCAGAAACACAATTTTTATTTCATCACGTATGTAAGTTCCTCTCCGTATTACTATGCCAACTGTCACAGTTCCTTGTTCACAAATTAATTTTATATTTCCTAATTTTCTGATTTACCTAAATCATTTATTTAAAAATGAACTTCTTGGTCCTTTACATGAAGGTGTAAAATATGTGAGGTTTAGATGTCTCACCTATATAGAGCATATATTTAAAAACGATAGTCTGAAATTAATCATAAGATTAAGATTAAGGTTAAGATTTATATCATTTACAGTTACATGTCGCACATATAGAATACATCTATCAATCATT